CTCCTCCTCCTCCTCCTCCTCATAATCATCATCACCATTATCATCTGCATGATGATTATGATGTCACGTATCAGCTTCTTTTTATTCTTCCTCTCTCCTTCATGTCGTTCTTTGCTGCGTTGACTGGTGACCAATACGAAATACCAATCCAAGAATACAATCCTATAATTTATTTATTGTCTGACGCTTCACTGCAATGTGGGTGGTTTGCGGGTGCTCTGATGTGCTTTGCTCCTTCTTTCATATCAAACATCTATCATCCTTATCCTCCCACCTTCTATTTTATGTTTGTTACTCTCTTGTAACACCTCTATTCTTCTGCACTTATATGACCCTTTTGTGTTGCAAGTGCCATAAAACACTAACTACAACTTTCCCTTCAATTGCCCACCCCTCCCCCTCTACAACGCTCGCAATCCTCGCTATAATTAGAAGACAACGTAATTATTACGCCACTGCCATGAGCCATGCCATGTCATCATCATGATTACTCATCGTTTATGGAAATATGTGTCACCACGCCATTGAATGAGGCGCTCGTAAATTATTGGGCATGTGGAGTAATTGGTATCATCTGAACGCTGATTTGTTTGCCTTGCTTCCAATGAAATAAATATTCATTAATCTTTAATAGAAGTCAAGATATTTGCTATTGAAGGAAGTCAAGTCGCCCAGTTTCAGAGGTGAAATTAGCGAGAAAATGGCCGACAAAGTTTGGAAACTCCAATAGCTAAAGAATCTTAGACAACTGAAAAAAATACATATTTTGTGCTTTATGTCGACGTTTTTCAGTAAAATTCACATGGAAATATGTATTTATATTGACCTGAAAGAGATTAAGCCAAAAAGCAAAATTCGATAAAATGTCCAAACTGGTGGAAAAATGCCTGTTTCTCCAATTTCATTATATTGACGAGCGCCTGATTTCGTCACTGTGCCTCACATATGGGTTTTCTGTTGTCAAGTCTGGGGTTTCCCCGCCACTGATGGTTCACTCACTGATTGAAGGAATTTCTCAAGATCGTTCCACCGGCTCATCGATCCGCAAGAGTCGATACGTGTGAGTAAAAACCCAACTGCAATCCATGGGTTTTGAAAGCAGGAAAGTGATTACTCGTGACGGTTTTATGACACGGTGGGTTTTTTTTTTTTTTTTGGGGGGGGGGGGGGTTGGTTTGTCTTGCGAAATAGATTAATGATATCTTCGCTTTTAGTGAATATATTTTTTCTATGTTTTATTCTACGCCTTAATTGTTCTAAACAGCTCGTGATCGTTCATACAAAGTATTAACAATAGTTTTGCGTTTAGTGAGAAGATATTGGTGTCTATGATGAAGGAAGGTCTCAAAGCGTGACGACCTTTTGGAGTAAAAAGATTCGTCTAAGTTACGAATATGCACACTTTCTAATGGGCATTGTATTAACCCCTTCACTGCATCAGCTCTGCCTCTGTCTGGGAACTTTTATTCTTCTTCTTATTTTTTTAGTAAGTGTTTTACAGCGCTTGCAACTGCATAAGGTCATATGAGCGCGCGGGACACACCTAATACTTTTAGTTGGTAGGAAATTTTGAATTTTGCCCAGGTGGCGGCTGCAGCCTACTCTTGTCGATTTTAGACCACCAAGGGATCTTTAACGACCGCAACTTGCTCACGGGCCCTCCGAGATTTTTCGCCCTTGTCCGAGAAGGCTAGGTGTAGATCTTTCCTACCAGAAGATCAGGGGGTGTGGCAGAAAGACAGCTGTAAGAAGGAGTCAAGGAGTAGCAGTAGAAAGGCTGCAGAAAGAGTCAGGATCCCAGAGGAGGCGACAAAGGAGGTGAGGGGTGGGGGCAGAAAGAGGAGACGAAAGCAGACGACAGAATATTGCTAGAGAGCAGGAAAGGAGGTGAAAGGAGACAATTTTAGAGAAGAAAATGTTTTGGTCGCTACCCGGATTCGAGCCCGAGACCTTTGAATGAGAGGCCAACACCTTAATCTCTAGGCCACGAGAGCCCCCCTAATTATTATTACTGAATAGGTCAGTGAGTGGTTGGCGGGTGCTCTAGTGTGGTTTGCTCCTTCTTTCCTATCAGACATCTATCGTCTTTATCTCCCTTCCTTCTTTTTAGTGTTTATTTGCTCCCTTGTAACACCTCTAACCTTCGGTACTTATATGACCTAATTGTGTTGCAAGTGCTGCAAAACTCTTACAAAAAGAGCAGGTCTGGTTGTGGAGGGGTTACATTTGTTCAAAGGGGGAGGCGCAGAGTTCGTGGGAAAACATCATGACGTGTCGTTGTGCTTCTTTTTACTCAAACTCAAACATTGGAGGTGCAACACTGCTCATCACCCTTACAGCCAATGTGCAGTATAACAGTATAGCTGTAGTTTGGTTCTTTATGGAGGAGTTCCGCAGAGGGCGGCAATTACCGTGACAAGGTCCACTAAGGAAACTATACAAGAGATAGGGTTAGGGTTAGAGTTAGGGTAAAGGCAAAGTTTAAGGTTAGGGTTAGGTTTAGGTGTTATTGGTCGGCCGGCCCTCTGCGGAACTCCTTCCCTTTCTTTGTGCTTCTCAAACTTATATACTCTGAACTATTGGCAAAAAGAAGGTAACAGTTACTGTGTAGGCTTCGGTAGTCTAGTGGTTAAGTTTACATGACCTGTAATGTTGATATTGCTTGATCGTGGGTTCGTTTGTTTTCGGAAGAGTATTACTGCTCTTACATAATACAATTAGGTCAATAAGTGCAGAAGATTGGAGATGTTGCAACAGAGTAACACACTCACACACACACACACACACACACACACATACACACACACACACACACACACACACACACGCACACACACACACGCACACGCACACACACACATAAAATGAAGGACAAGAGATTAGGATGGTAGATGTTTGATAGGAAAGAAGGAGCAAACCACACCAGAGCACCCGCCTACCACCCACATTCGGTTTTTTCGAGACTTTGCTTGGTCTGACATTGTGTTTCTTTTGCGCGACTTTTCGCTCTGCTCAGTTTTATCGGAGACGGACGTTCAAATGGGAGATCCGACCTTTTAAATAACCAGGCAGTATCGCAAGGGACGTGAAATCTGTACAATTTTACACAGTTCATGTGGTTGTTGGCGGGTGCTCTGGTGTGGCTTGCTCCTTCTTTCCTACGAAACATCAATCGTCCTGATCTCTCCTTCTTCTTTTTTGTGGTTGTTACTCTCTTGTAACACCTCCAATCTTCGGCACTGAGATCTATATGACATTTTTGTGTTGCAAGTATCGATACATTCTTACTAAAAACAAAAACTAAAGAAAAACACAGTTCATTTTCGCTGACGTTCCTTGCTGTGTCCTTGAGGTAGCAAGATTTACTTAGTCCCAGATGTTGTTCCTTCTAATTTAATATGTATATAAAATATATTATATATATTATATATATTTTATATGTGACCACACTAGTTGTCGATAGCCACCGTGTTATTCTTAATTCAGATATCGACCTCTTTAGTTTTTGCACCTGTTTACAAGTCTGACCGTTTGTATGAACGTTAATTCAGTCGACTTATTCCTCTTTTATG